AGCTAACCTTGACAATCATAAGAAGCAAAGGAAAACAATAAGCAGCTAAAACAACCTCACTAGGCAGGAAAAACAGAAATAGAGAATTAAAGGTTGCAGGTTCTAAATCCAGGGATGTTAAGAGAAAAAGCAGGCCCACTCAGACCCAAAACACAGTATTTACCTAAAAAGCAGCCAGGTGTTCCTGGTCCTGCTCCAGCTCTGAACTGTTTCCTCGGGAGACATTACACGGAGTCATGTCTGCATTTTGAGGATTTGCCTTCACAGGCATCAGCACAACCCCTTTAACTGCTCCCACCACCTTCCCAGGCCTAAGGACCTTGAAATGCTAAAAAGAGCACTATCTCCTCTCCTTTGTCACGGGAGAAAGTCAGGAACAATGAGCTCCTGCATGGAGACCACACTATGAGTTTTTTCTTTCTTGTTTTTCAGAGGCTCTCTCCTCCCACACATGTCCACAAATTCCTACAGCAATGAGAACATACACTGCTCTCCTGAACCCCCAAACTCAGTAATTACCTGGTTACCCCCAATGACCTTATAAATACATCCAGACATGCCTTTTCCTTCACTTTCCCCTTCTCTCCCACCCTGCAGAAAAGCTTTGCCTTTTCTTTCTCCAAGAAATGCTCCTTCTTATAATTGTTTTTTGGCCACATTCCTTCTATGTGTTGTTACTTTCTAAGTAAAAAAATTTTTATAAAAAAATAAATGCATGTCCTGACCTGGTGGCTCAGTTGATTGCAGCATCATCTTGTATACAGAAAAGGTTGTGTGTTTGATTACAGGTCAGAGTACTTATCTAGCTTGCAGGTTCCATCTCTGGTCCCAGCACATGCAGGAGAAAGCTCATCAATGTTTATCTCTTTTTTCCTGTCTCTAAATTCAATAACCATATCCTCATGTGAGTATTTAAAAAAAAAATGTATCCCAAAGCATTCCTGCTAATCCATGGGCTCACCTTAGCATCACCAGGAGAACCTCATTAAACACTGATGCCCTACCCAAAGCAGTAAACCAACTCTGTGGAGGACAGCACAGCTGATGTCATTTCTTAAAACGTCTCAGGATTTAATAGGAATCTGAAGGAAAACAGTGTAGCTTTAATAACCATGCAGACCCGAGGGTAATAAGGACTCTAAGTTACAATTCTGCAAGTCTGCAAATGCAGCCCATGAAATGGCATCTTTATCTAGTTCCCTCATGGTTCCTAGGCTGCTCCCCCAAGAGCTGTTTTCTGTATACTTGGCCAGACATATCAGGCCAGCAAACATCAGACCTCTGGTACTGTGAGGACTTTGGGCAAAAACTTCTAAAATGACAGGCTCCCTGGGCAAAACTTTTTTTTCCTAGGAAAAAACAAAGAATTATATTAAAAGCTTAAAATGATAAATACAAGTCTTAATACTGAAAACTTTAAAAAATATTAGCTATGAAAACATATTAATCAAATTAAATATAAGTAGATGAGCTTTCTGGGAAATACATTTCAAGTCAATCCGGTCCACCCTTCAATATTTTCAGAGAATGGAAAGAGGGACTTGAGGGGAAGAGCTCCTTTGTGGCTCACAGTCACTAGTTCAACAAATCACATGAAGGCAAAAAAACAAAACAAAACAAAACCCCCTGCTGAACATTAGACATACTCATGAGACTAGGTTCTGATTGTTAAGATCACTGACATTCTTACCAAGTGCATAGTAAATTAGCCTGATATCACTAAGTACTAATGCATGTTTCAACATACAGTAAACAGTAGAAAGGATACAGGGTTCCGAATTTAAACTAGGCACAATATATTTAAAAGGAAAACTGGGTTTTTTTTTTTAATGTAATGACTTCTCTGGTTAAAGTTTAAAAAACGTTGAGACTATCTCATATTTAGAAAAGAATGTTAAGTACTGGTTAAGAGATATCACCAATGCTTATTTCAAAAGTTAATGACTGAAGCTGGAGGACTTCCGCCAAGATGGAGGCATAGGTGGATGTGCCGTGCCTTCTCACACAACCAAGTTTAGACACAACTAAATATTAGCAACAGAAAACACAGCCAGAACACGGAAAATTGAACTTTTCGGAAGTCTGTTAACAACAAATTCTTCAGTCTGACCGGTAAGGGGCGAAACCAGCAGCTGATGGAGCGGGGTTGCACAGGAAAACTCGGTCAGACGGACTCAGGTGCGCAGAATCCAGGCGCAGGGTTGGACCGAGCGAGCGACCGAGCGAGCGACCACAGGGAAACAGCAAGGGAGCAGGGCTGAGGGTTGACTGTGGTCGCGCATTTGTGCACGGATAGACAAGCGAGAGAGTGGGCGATTGGACCGGGACCCAGCGGTCCCCATGGCAAGCAGCAGGGAGGGCGCCGCCATTTCCCTGCTCTGACCCCACCTCCACATACAGCATCATAACCCAGCGACTCTGAGTGGCCCGGCCCAGGTGAACCACCTAAGGCGCTGACCCTCCCCAGCTGTGAGAAACAGCAGAGGGGGTCGCCATTTCCCACTCTGACCACGCCCCCACATACAGCGTCACAACCCAGCGACCTGGGAGTCCAAGGCTCCGTTCCTCACACTTAAAGGGCACGAACAGACCAAAAATGGCTCAAGAAGATCTCAAAGCCCCAGAGCCTATAAATTTAAGCGATGAAGAAATAGCAAAACTCTCAGGTGCACAGTTTAAAACACTGGTGATCAGGATCCTCACAGAACTGTTGATTATAGCCACAACTAGACAAATATATGAAGGCGAAACTAATTGAAATGAATGGAATTGCACAGGAAACCAATAGCAATGAAAAGGAAACTGGGACTCAAATCAATGGAGTGGACCAGAAGAAAGCAAATAATGGCCAAACAGAAAAGAGTCAAGAAGCAAGAATTCAAAGAAATGAGGAGAGTCTTAGGAACCTCCAGGACATCTTTAAACGCTCCAACATCCGAATTATAGGGGTACCAGAAGGGGGGAAAGGCACAGCCACCAGTGGAAAACTTATTTGAACAAATAATAAAGGAGAATTTCCCCAATCTGGCAAAGGAAATAGACTTCCAGGAAATCCAGGAAGCTCAGAGAGTCCCAAAAGTTGGACCCAAGAAGAAATACACCAAGGCACATCATAATTAAATTAGCCAAGATTAAAATGAAGGAGAGAATCCTAGAAGCAGCAAGAGCTAAGGGGACAGTCACCTACAAAGGAGTCCCCATCAGACTGTCAGTGGATTTCTCAAAAGAGACCTTACAGGCAAGAAGGGGCTGGAAAGAGGTATTCCAAGTCATGAAATCCAAAGGCCTACAACCAAGATTGCTCTATCCAGCAAAACTTTCATTTAGAATGGAAGGACAGGTAAAGTGCTTCTCAGATAAGGTCAAATTCAAGGAGTTCATCATCACCAAGCCCTTATTATATGAAATGTTAAAGGGACTTATCTAAGAAAAAGAAGTTAGAGAAACATGAAGAGTGAAAGGACAACAAACTCAGTTATTAATAACCACACCTAAAACAAAAGCAAACTAAAAGGACAGCTAGATCAGGAGCGGAAACATAGAAATGAAGATCTCAAGGAGGGTTAGCAACAGGGGAGTGGGAGGAGAAGTGGGGAGAAGGTACAGAAAATAAGTAGCATAGACAGTAGATAGAAAATAGATGGGGGGGGGGCAAGAATAGCATGGGAAATATAGAATCTAAAGAACTTGAGACACATGGACATAAACTAAAGGGGGATAATGGTGGGGATGGGGGGTAGGGTGGAGGGGAATGAAGGGGGGAATAGAACAACTGTAACAGCATAATCAATAAAAAAAATTAAAAAAAAAAAGTTAATGACTACTTCCAGAAAAGTAGACACTCAACAGACTAAGATTAATCTCAATGTGTTTTTCAAAAATAAATTCAACATGAGATGTAGAAAAAGTAAGCGCAGTGGGCAGAAAATAAAAAGACCCAATGCCTTTAATATTCCTGGGTAAAGCATGTGGTGATAGACTTACTCATTTCATCTCCCAGGTCATCTCCCTCTTGCCATCCCATGATATAAGAAGGGACTCACGACTGGCAGACAAGTCTCTGACCTCTGAGTGAATAAGGGTTGCTACTTGAAGCAAATAATTATAAAATTCACAAGCTTTATAAACTGGAGAATTGTAATTCTCATTCAAATCTGTTTAACTGACACAATTCAGTGAATGTTTAACTAAATGTTGTATAAAGCCCCAAGCCTATAAATCACAACTTAATCATTTGCATTTGGTTTCCCTTCTTCCTGCTACTCTGTACTTCTCTGGATGAATCTTGTTTATGTCCCTTCCCTGTCTCCCTGCACTGTTGTCCGTTCCCGGATTTTCCCTCCCCTTTTCTTTATTCCTGTACCTACAACTGTTCTGTGAAACTAGTGAAACCTATTTCACCTTCACTTGCTCGTTCTCCCGGATGTATCTGATCGCTCCGTCTGCATCCCCCGCCCTGCCCCCTCTGCTGCCCCAGTTACAAGTCTTTCCCGTTACCCACCAAAAGCTGGCTCTCGGTGCTTCGTCCCTCCGATCCGTCACCTCAAACCGCCTTCATATCCCCGGTCTCGCTACAACTGGTCTCCTCAGAACGACTCCCTCCGTCTGAAGCGTCTCACCCTTTGCTGTCCCCACGTCTGCTCACAGGCCCCTCTCCCGGTCAGTTCCTCTGGTCTCTCAGAGGCTCCTGCGCCTCCACGGCATTTTTCCCATTTTCCTCCTCTGGGTACTTTCCCTAGTTACCCTTTCAGTCCTACGTCGCGTTCCCGTCCCTCCCACCTCCCCAGCGTTGTCGTCTCTCTCAGTCCAGACCTTTCCTCACGTGTTCCGTCTCCGGATCCCCTCACAGTCTCGTCACTGCCCCTCCCGAGACTTTAAAGAGCATCAGATGGGTGGGCTGTGCAGGAAAAGGCTCAGAGCACGAGGATCACAGGGGAGGTTGCGTTCAACTGCCGGAAAGCGGAGCGATCACGGGCTGCACGGCTTCCGATTCCCCCCAGACTAACGCGCAGCGTTCACTTAACGGAGCCTCCCCAAGACGCCGGGCTCACCGCGGCAGGAGCCTCGCAGCGACTTCATAGCCTTCGGAGACCCGCAGGCTTCACGTGCGTAGGAAAGAGGACTGAGACAATCAGGCTTCAACTGGTAATGCGAAAACCTGGAAGGACTGCGTGCCTTCCCCTACTCCGCAGTAGTACGTTTCTGTAAGAATCTGCGCATGCTCCTCACCTCAGTTCTGTAAGAATCTGCGCATGCTCCTCACCTCAGTAGATGGGAGATTTTACTCAGTGCTGATTTGTGCGATGTGCAGGCGGGGGTGGGGGTAAGGGGGCGTGGGAAGGGGCGGGGCTTGCAAGGGGCCAGTCCAGTGCAGAAAAGAGGAATATAGGAGAGGGGCGAATGCAGTGGCCTTGAATGGGCTCCATTTCAGCTATCTCTCCTTGGTTATAACCTTCCTTGTTCATTGTTTTTTTATTTATCCACGTAACTTTATAAAATCTATGACATTTGTTTTCAAATGTAATCTTTTTTTTAATATTAAATTTTATTTAGTTACTTTTCAAGTACATTTTTTTTTTATCTATTTCTCCCACCCCCCCCCCCCCACCCCGCCCGGTCTCCCCCCTCCCTCCCATCCACCCCCCCAGTCCTCATCTCTGTGTCTTTCATACTTGTTCCTCAAAATCCCTCCCCCTTTTTCCCCTTAAGTTCCCTTCCCTCTCCCCTCTGGTCGCTGCCCACTTGTTCTCTATTTCAGTGTCTTTGTTTTTATTGTTTGCTTGTTTGTTTTATTCTTTAGCTTCCTGTCAAAGGTGAGATCATATGGTATTTGTCCTTCAATGCCTGGCCTATAATCTTTAGGTGACCCTCCAATGATTTTGAATTAAGATCTTGACCACACACTGTGATCATCCTTTGGGCATTCAAAGTCTACAGAAAATGGCGCTGGGAAGGAAAAGGATGTGTTCTGGGAGCTTGGTCTGAACACAGTGCTATGGACCGGAGGCCAGTCCTGACAAGAGGGCAGGTATGTGCAGTGGCAATTAGAAAGTAAATAAATGCTGTCCTGTGGAACTGCCTGGGGAGAGACCTAAATTTCTATGCACTTTGCATCCAAAGATTCTTTGTCAGATTTAAAAATGCTGGTTTGAAACTGGAAAAGTTGACAATCATACTGCCTGTCACCACAAGAACCGAAAAGTAGAGAAGGGTTTGAATGTTTATGGGGGCTTTATATAGTTGGCAGGGATCAGAGAAGACAGCTGGTTATGTTCCCTAAAAGACCATCTTACATTTCATTTTAAGCTAGCCTTTTCTATAAGGAGAATAAAAGTTTAAGGGATTTGAAATGGGGTGGAGAGAAATGTAGATAAAAGGTTTGGTATTAATGAACAATGTTAATGAGATAAAAGCTGCAGTCCAGCACTCTCAGCTCTTGACAGGTGGTTCTTTGTGTGTCCTCTGCAGAAGGATGTCTCCCTGGAGCACAGTGGCTCAGACACACCTAGACTGCTTGCAGTTCTGGAGCACAAAGGTCAACTGCTTGTTTCTCTTGGACTCCAGATAGTTCATATCATCAGTTCCTGAAAGAACAGCGTTTTACGTGTATTGATTACTAAGTTTGTTAGCTATTACTGCAAACTAAAATTTTTCCAACTCTTGAGTTCCCTCATCACTTTATAACATGCTAAGTGAAATAAGTCAGTCTGAAAGGACAAATATATGATTTCACTTATATCTGTCACAGGCAACTCTTTTGCAATATTTTTTTTTTCTGTAACTCAGCCTTTTAGTCCCACTCTGGTCATCTGATTCAGGCCTTAGGAAATTAAAGAGCTGGCTGGCCCACTAGCCCTACAGGCAATTCTGGCACCAAGGAATAACACCTGTGAGTCAACACAGGTGACTATACTATTCACTCAGCTTTTATTGCTCAGGTTCAATCTCAGTAATAATCAGTAGCGATAACACACACAAAAAAATCAGTTACGATATCACGAGAGAATTAGTAACAAACCTGAGTCGCAAGAGTCCAAATCCAGTTCAGGTCTAGGAGGCAGCCCGGCAGCCTTGTCTTGCAAGAATTGGGTAGTAACAAACCTGAGTCTCAACAGTCCAGATCTGGTCCCAGTCTGGGAGGCAGCCAGGCAGTCCTTGTCTTGCAAGGCAAAGTCAGAGGGACAAAATCAAGGCGAAACTCTTTCTCCTGAGGCAGAAGGTGCAGGACATCTCAATGTAATTGCTCTCAGGATGCATTTTCCATGGTCTGAAGTCTTTTGCTTGTGCACTCGTATATAATGCAGTGTTGCCTCAGCTTGTGATTAACACATGCTATTTTGGGCAACTTCAATAGGCACATGTGGTTAATGTAGGTCTATAGTGCATGCTCTGAGGGGGTGGTGTTACTTCCCAAATAAGCACATTATTTCCTTGTACTGAGCATGCTTGAGAGATTGCATCATCTCACTGCATCACTGCTCTACTGGGCATACCCTAAACATGGCTTTCCTTGACACAATCTTTGTTAACAAGACTTCTTAACATGCTATCTTAGTTCAGTTCTGCTCTCTACAATCTGGAAATTAAAATAAAATACATAAAGAAAATACAAACCGATTCACAGAAAACACACTAAAGGATGCCAAAGAAAAGGAGGTTTGACCCAGAGTAAAGATGATGGATTAGAAAGTACAAATGTCAGTTACAAATGAGTCACAGGGATGTGAATTGCAGCATAGGGAAACAGTAATATTTTAATAACTATGTATGCCAGGCACTGGAATCATCAGTATTTTGTAAATTATATGATTGTCTAAACATGCTATCAATCCAGTTAAAACTAATATGAAATAATATTGAAAGTAAACAGTAATCGAAAACCAGATTTTTTTCAAGACAGGCACATGGAGGGTAAAACAGGAGAGAAATATCTGGTACCAGCTCCAGCCAGTGACTGAGTCTGCAACTTAGACAGATGTCCTGACCAGGAATCAAGCTGGATTCCCTTTCACTTTGCAGGACGATGCTCAACCAACCGAGAAACACTGGGCAAGACAACAATTTTTTATAAGAGAAATGTTCCTTTCTGTTTTTGTCTGTGGAGCAGCATTGCTTCCTACTCAATTTAGGCTGCTATGTTGAACAGTTTTAAGGTAAAAGTATATATTTATGTGAGCCACTTGAGTTAGAAAGTAAGTTGTTTCATACTATCTTTTACCTTTGAAAAGGTTTAAGTCAAAAGCTATTTTTGCCTAAGATTGTAAGCACTTCCTGATGGTGAGGATGAAGCAACTTTGTAGGAACTAGGATCTCTTTAAGAAACTGGAGTTGGGGAAGGTGTTGGATCCAGAAATGATTCTGCAATTAGTGGAAACAGTTTTATTAAACAGCTACTGCAATTATCTCCGTAACCTTTAAGAACTAGAACATGAGCCCTGGCTGGTATAGCTCAGTGGATTGAGCGCGGGCCTCTAAACCAAAGCCACGTAATAGTGGATATTAACTTGTATATTTCCTGTTAAACAAATTTGTTTAAAGACTTTATTTTTAGAGAGAGGGGAAGGGAGGAAGAGAAGGAGAGAAACATCAATGGGTTCCTTTAATACCCCCAACTGGGTACCTGGCCCACAACCCAGGCATGTGCCCTGACTAGGAATTGAACTCGTGACTTTTGTTCTCAGGCCAGCACTCAATCCACTAAGCCACACCAGCCAGGGCAATAACACAGGTTTTTATTACACAATTTGGTTTAAAAGGTACCTAAGAAATTAGGCCAAAAAAGAAAGAAAACAAAAAACAAAGGAACCCCAAAAGGCAACCCTCATAGACACAGAAAACATAATGATTTTCAGAGGCAAAGGTGGGTGTGGGAGACTATAAGATGGTAAAGTGAAAATAAAGGCTGATGGATGGACACTTGACTTTGGATGGTGAATAAAGAACGATATATGCTGGTGATGTAACACAGTACCCCTGAAACAATATAATTACATTAAACAATGTCCCTCCAATAAAATGAATAAAAAACTTAAAAAAAAAAACTATGTATTATGAACCTGATTTTTTAACAGTAAGCATTTTTTATTTTCTGCAGACAGTATCACAAAAGCCCTGGTGGTTACTTAAGCACTCTAAGATGTATTATTTATTTAAAAAAGATTTTAGGACTTCCGCCAAGATGGAGGCATAGGTGGATATACCGTGCCTTCTCACACAACCAAGTTTAGAGACAACTAAATATTAGCAACAGAAAACACAGCCAGAACACAGAAAATTGAACTTTTCGGAAGTCCGTTAACAACAAATTCTTCAGCCTGACCGGTAAGGGGCGAAACCAGTGGCTGGTGAAGCGGGGTTGCACAGGAGGACTCGGTCAGACGGACTCAGGCGCGGAATCCAGACGTGCGGAATCCAGGCGCAGGGTTGGACCTAGTGAGCGACCAGGCGAGCGACCAGGCGAGCGACTGCGGGGGAGACAGCAGGGGAGCGGTGCTGCTGCGTGTTGACTGTGGTCGCGAATTTGTGCGCGGGCGGACAGGTGAGGAAGTGGGCGGTTGGACCAGCCCGGGTGCGTCCCCGCAGCCGGCGGCAGTGGAGGGCGGCGCCATTTCCCTGCTCTGACCCCACCTCCACATACAGCGTCATAACCCAGCGACTCTGAGTGGCCAGGCCCAGGTGAACCACCTAAGGCGCTGACCCTCCCCAGCTGTGAGAAACAGCAGAGGGGGTCGCCATTTCCCACTCTGACCACGCCCCCACATACAGCGTCACAACCCAGCAACCTGGGAGTCCAAGGCACCGCTTCTCACACTTAAAGGACGCGAACAGACCAAAAATGTTGCAAGAATATCTCAAAGCCCCAGAGCCCATAGATCTAAGCGATGAAGAAATAGCAAAACTCTCAGGCGCACAGTTTAAAACACTGGTCATTAAGATCCTCACAGAACTGGTTGATTATAGCCACAAATTAGACAAATATATGAAGGCGAAACTAATTGAAATGAATGGAATTGCACAGGAAACCAATAGCAATGAAAAGGAAACTGGGACTCAAATCAATGGAGTGGACCAGAAGAAAGCAAATAATGGCCAAACAGAAAAGAGTCAAGAAGCAAGAATTCAAAGAAATGAGGAGAGTCTTAGGAACCTCCAGGACATCTTTAAACGCTCCAACATCCGAATTATAGGGGTGCCAGAAGGGGGAAAGGCATAGCCACCAGTGGAAAACTTATTTGAACAAATAATAAAGGAGAATTTCCCCAATCTGGCAAAGGAAATAGACTTCCAGGAAATCCAGGAAGCTCAGAGTCCCAAAGAAGGTGGACCCAAGAAGGAACACACCAAGGCACATCATAATTAAATTAGCCAAGATTAAAATGAAGGAGAGAATCCTAGAAGCAGCAAGAGATAAGGGGACAGTCACCTACAAAGGAGTCCCCATCAGACTGTCAGTGGATTTCTCAAAAGAGACCTTACAGGCAAGAAGGGGCTGGAAAGAGGTATTCCAAGTCATGAAATCCAAAGACCTACAACCAAGATTGCTCTATCCAGCAAAACTTTCATTTAGAATGGAAGGACAGATAAAGTGCTTCTCAGATAAGGTCAAATTCAAGGAGTTCATCATCACCAAGCCCTTATTATAGGAAATGTTAAAGGGACTTATCTAAGAAAAAGAAGTTAAAGAAACATGAACAGTGAAAGGACAACAACCTCACAGTTATTAACAACCACACCTAAAACAAAAGCAAACTAAAAGGACAGCTAGATCAGGAGTGGAAGCATAGAAATGAAGATCTCAAGGAGGGTTAGCAACAGGGGAGTGGGAGGAGGAGAAGGGGGGAGAAGGTACAGAAAATAAGTAGCATAGACAGTAGATAGAAAATAGATGGGGGGGCAAGAATAGCATGGGAAATATAGAATCTAAAGAACTTGAGACACATGGTCATAAACTAAAGGGGGGTAATGGTGGGGATGGGGGGTAGGGTGGAGGGGAATGAAGGGGGGAATAGAACAACTGTAACAGCATAATCAATAAAAAAAAATAAAATAATAAAATAAAATAAAATAAAATAAAAAATAAAAAAGATTGTATTCATTTCTAGAGGAAAGGAGCAAGAGAGGGAGAGAAACCACCATGTGCCAGAGATACATCAATCCCCAAATGGGCACCTTACACGCCCCCAACTGGGGACCTGGCCAGGAATCAAACGGGTGACCTTTCAGTTCTCAGGCAGGCACTCAACCCACTGAGCCACACCAGCCAGAGCAGATTCAGTAGGTGTTTTATTTTATTTTATTTTTTAAGATTTTATTTACTTATTTTTAAAGAGAGGGGAAACATCAACATGTAGTTGCCTCCCGTGTACCACCCACTAGGGACCTGACCAGCAACCCGGGCATATGTCTTGACTAGGAATTGAACTGGCGACCCTTTAGTTCTCAGGATGGTATTCAATCCACTGAGCCAAAACAGCCAGGCTTCGGTAGGTATTTTAAATAAAAATGGTTATAATTTAGCCAAGACACAAAAACTATCAATATATGGGAGCTAAATGTAAGAAGCAGGCATGCCTATAGGATTCTTAGATAAAATTATAGGGATAAATGTTCATGACTGTGGATTTACCAGTATATTTTTATATATAACACCAACACACAAAAAAGGAAAAAATGAAATAAATCAATCTTCATCAAAATTAATTCCATGTAATGAAGGATATTACCACATAAGTAAAAATATAGTCTATCAAAGGGTCTACTATCCATATTTGACTAATTCTTTCAACTCAGTAACCATCCTGGCTGGTGTAGCCCAGTGGATTGAGCACCAGCCTACGAACCAAAGGGTTGTTCATTTAAATTCCCAATCAGGGCTCATGCGTGGGTTGTGGGCTAGGTCCCCAGTGGGGCCCATGTGAGAGGCAACACACTAATGTCTCTCCCACTCTTTCTCCCTCCCTTGTTCTCTCTCTAAAAATAAATAAAATCTTTTTTAAAAATCCTCAATAACCAAAAACAAGAAATCCAAATTAAAAAGATCAATCCCGCTTATGTTCCTGAGTATTTGCTTTCTATATTCAGGTTTCCTACATTGGGTGTATTAATGTTTACAAGGGTCATATCCTCTTGGTAAGTTGATCCCTTTGTGATTATGAAATATCCTCCTTTCCTTTTGTAGCCTCTCTTTTAATTTCTTTTTTGTTTGACATAAGTATAGCTACCACAGCATTTTAAATTTTCCATTGAAAAGAAATACCTTTTTCACAATAGCACAGACATTTCTTTATTGGAATCCCAAATTTTAAAAAGAGAAAGTAAATAATCATCAAGTGATTCATGTTTGTTTTTTTTTTAAGCATCTTTACCTCAGTCACCCATCAGACCTGCTCTAACTTGCCAAAATAAGTCTCTGGATATCTAAAAGCTGTTTATACATTAACTCCATTAAAACTCTGCTCATTATTGGCATGGCTATTCTCATACCTATTATATGTACACAATCCACTATTAGATATCTCAGAACAGAATTCTCTGCAGAGCAGGTTCTTCTGGGGCCCAAAAGTAGAGGTGAATTAACTTTTTTTACCCTTTTACTTTCACTTTGTATCTTTTCATTTAATGTGGGTGTCTTGCAGACAGCATATTCATGGCTCTTGCTGTGCTATCTATTCACTACCCTGTTTTTTAAAGATTTATTTATTTTTAGAGAGAGGGAGAGGAACATAGATGTGAGAGAAACATCAATCGGTTGCCTCTCATATGCACCGCATCTGGTGGCACTTCTTGCAACCCAGGCATATGCCCTGGCCAGGAATCAAACCACAGACCTTTTGCTTTGCAAGACGATGACCAACCAACAAAGAGACACACCAGTCAGGGCTACCTTATCTTTTTGATATGGACATTTAATATATTTATGTTTAAATGATTATTGACAGGTATACATTTATTGCAAATTTCATATTCAGCAATGCAGTCACAGTAGGGAACTTTAACTTTCCACTGACATCCACAGATAGAACTCACAGAAAACCAAGACGAAAACTATGGTCTTAAATGACACATTAGAGATGGATGTGGAACATTTAAAGAATTTTACCCCAAAGCAGAATATATATTCTGGACACAATGAAGGCAGAATCAACTCTAATCTAAGGAACAATAAAAGCTTTTTTAAAATGACCACAAAAGACTAAAAAATTTATGTAGGTAATATTTGTATTAATAAAACTCTTCAACACTCATCACTGGAGTACCTGATAAGGAACAACTCTCATCTACCTGAGATTTTATTCCTATATATGTTCTGAGCCCTAGACTTTGTCCTTTAACAAACTAAAATCATAAAGCCACTGGTCCAGGTAATCAGTCCTAGACACAAAACATCAGTAGATGCATAGCAATAATGCTGCATATACTGTGTCTATACCTATGTCAGGAAGTAAAGTAGAATAGTATCCAATCTATAGTTTCTATAATGTTTGTGATTTTTCGGGCAGGTGCATGCATTAGGGACTAATATTTAGCAGCTTGTACAGATCTAGCAAGACAATGAAAAAGCCAATTGGACTTTCGGGCTTCCATTTTAAACTATCTCCACCTGAAATTCCTGGAAATGGTTCTGATGGCTTGAAATGCACTCAAGGTATGTGTGGGACAATGGATACACCCCAAGCTATGTAAAAGACACGGAAAATAATTTTGCATCCAAAATCATAAAGAAAATCTTTCAACCTAAAGTCTGCAATGGTCTCTGGAATTTCTCTAGAAACAATGAGCAAGAGTTGGCTACATTTATGATTAAAAATAAAGCCTGTTCAATTTGTTCTGTTTTTACTTCAGTAAAGGAGAAGGTAATGATGTAACACTGAGAAATTCTCAAGGACTCAAATGAAAATCGGGACCAGAAAGATCATTCTAATTTCTTTTTAAAGATTTTATTTATTTACTTTTAGAGAGAGGGGAAGAGAGGAAGAAAGAGGGGAAGAGAAACATCGATTGGTTGCCTCTCACATGCCCCAATCATGGACCTGTCCCAAAACCCAGGCATGTGCCCTGACTGGGAATCGAACTGGCGACCTTAAGAGTCTGCAGGCCAGTACTCAATCCACTGAGCCATACAAACCACAGCACAAATTTTCTTTTTTCTTAAGTAGATTTTATTTATTTCTAGAGAGAGAAGAGGAGGAAGAAAGAGAGGGAGAGAAACACTGACTTGTTACAGAAATGTGGACCAGTTGCTTCTCACACGCCTTGCCCTCAAACCAGGCATGTGTTCTAAGAAGGAATTGAATGGGTGACCTTTCTTTTCTTGTGACAACACCCAACCCACTGAGCCACACCAGTCACAGCAGATCATTCCAATTTCCAAACACACAAATGCCATTATGTTATTTTCCAAAAACACATATTCACATTAAAAAACATAGGGTTCTCCATGAGTTGCAACCTTCATTTTTTTCTAAAATATATAACTATAATAAAAACATTTATCAAATTCTGATGTGTCATTATATTAGAAAATTTCCAAACTACTGATTAGCACCAACAGGGCTTGCTTGCCTGATGGGGGAGGGGGAGAGCAATTAAGATGCTATGACCCCAGCACTTCAGTGGATAATGGCTATGAGATCTCTGTAGCTGAATTCAAGAGTTCACAGATTTTTAAAGATCAACAATCAACCCCATGATTTCACACACACACCAGGAATAAAAACATAGTAGCATCAACTGATAGGAGATTAACAATTTCTTTTCAAAATATTTCAAATACTGTTGATATACAATAGTATATATTCTGAGTTAATTATGCACATCGAGACACCCATTTCCTTGACATTTTTAAGCACATCAAAAGATAATGACCTAGCTCCAGCTGGTATGGCTCAGTGGATTTGGTGCCAGCCTGTGAACCAAAAGGTCACTGTTTAATTCCAGGTCAAGGTACATGCCAGGGTTGCAGGCCAGATCCCCAGTAGAGAGTGGGCATGAGAGAGCCAACTGATTCATGTTTCTCTTGAACATTAATGTTTCTCTCCTGCCCATCCATTGTCATTGAAAATAAAATCTTTTTAAAAAGTAATGCTCTATGTTTTTAAATTCTGAATAATTCTCTATAGTAAGTATTCTGACTTATAATAATACCTGAAAACTATTTTTAGCGCTCTACTGTGAATTCACTCATACTTTGAAATTATGTTTCACTTACATACATACCTAAATTTCTACATCTTTAACACCAATTTCAGGCATAAATTCTTTGGGATTTGTGAACTGTATATACTGAACAAAAGCCTATAGTTATTATGAACATAAAATTCCATACCCATTGTACATTCCCTGTATGTCCACATGTACAATTTCTTACAATCTTCTTTTTTAAGGTTTTTTCCCCCTAGTATAAATTCTCACATGTCAAATAATCTGTAAACCTTGAGAAAACAGTTTACAACATTCTTCATTAGTATTTTTTCTCTTTAGAATGAATTCTGATGTGAAGTAAGATATGGGTAGAGCTTTGCCACATTTTTTATATTTGCTACATTTTATCCAAGAAAAATTGTAAGATATTGACAGATATGAATGAGGGCTAAACACTTTACCAAATTCGTTACATTTTTAAGACTTTTTCCCCATATAAATTCTCTAACCTTGAAGGAGGCTTGAATAATGGTTAAAGTTTTGTTAAATTCTTCACATTTTTTGTTTCTCTCCAGCATGAAGTCTCCAATGTCAAGGAAATTTTGAACACAGGCTAAAAGCTTTGCCACATTCTCTACATTTGAACAGTTTTCCTCTAGAGACACTACTGATGATTAAAAGATTTGGCACTTACATTTATATCATTTCTCTCCAGTATGAATGACCTGATGTGGTATACGTTTTGAGGAATAAAGACTTTGTCACATAGTCCAAACTGATAAGATTTATTTCAAGTATGATTACACTAACAACTGAAGACTGCTTAAAGGCTTGGCCATATTCCCTACATTTACATGGCTTTTCACCAGTATGAATTCTCTGATGTTGAATACATTGTGAGGATTCCCTAAAGGCTTTGCCACATTCTCTACATTTATAAGGCTTCTCTCCAGTATGAATCGTCTGATGTTGAGTAAGGGTTGGGGATTGTCTAAAGGTTTTATCACATTCGCTACATTTATAAGGCTTCTCTTCAGTATGAATTTTCTGATGTTGAGTAAGGTTTGGGGAGTGGTGAAAGGTTTTACCATATTTTCTACATATATGAGGCTTTTCACCATTATGAATCCTCTGAAGATGACTAAGGTTTGAGAAATCCTAAAGGCTTTGCCACATCCTTCGCACTTATGAGAATTCACTCTAGTATGAATTTTCTGATGTTGAGTAAGCACTGAGCACTAGCAAAAGGCTTTACCGTATTATCTACATTTGTAAGGCATCTCTCCAGTATGAATTTCCTGATGCTGAGTAAGCACTGAGGACTGACAAAAGACATTACTACATTCTCTGCATTCATAAGGCTTCTCTCCAGTATGAATTTTGTGATGGTTTATAAGCGTTGAGGACCGGCAAAAGGCTTTACCACATTCTGTACATTTATAAGGCTTCTCTCCAGTATGAATTTTCTGATGTCTAGTAAGGGTTGAGGACAAGCTAAAGGCTTTGCCACATTCTCTACATTTATAACGCTTCTCTCCAGTATGTATTTTCTGATGATGAGTAAGGGTTGAGGACTGGCGAAAGGCTTTACCACATTCTCTACATTTATAGGGCTTCTCTCCAATATGAATATTCTGATGTTGAATAAGATTTGAGGACTGGCGAAAGGCTTTACCACATTCTCTACATTTATAAGCCTTCTCTCCAGTATGAATTTTCTGATGTTGAGTAAGAGTTGAGGAGCGGCTAAAGGCTTTACCGCATTCTGTACATTTGTAAGGCTTCTCTCCAGTATGAATTTTCTGATGGTTTGTAAGGGTTTCGGAACGGCGAAAGGCTTTACCACATTCTCTACATTTATAAGGCTTTTCTTCGGTATGAATTTTCTGATGTTGAGTAAGGGTTGAGGACTGGCGAAAGTCTTTACCACATTCTCTACATTTATAAGGCTTCTCTCCAGTATGAATTCTCTGATGAATAGTAAGGATTGAGAACCACCTAAAGGCTTTACCACATTCTCTACATATATAAGGCTGCTGATTAGTATGTATTCTCTGATGTACAGTAAGACCTGAAGGCCAATTATATGTTTTACCACATTCTTTATATTTATGTTTTTCCACAGTACAGATTTTCTTAACTCCATTTAGATTAAATATTTGACTAAAGAATTTCCCACATGGTAAACATTTGTATACTTCCCCCCTGATAGGAATATTCTTTTGTTCAGTACTGTTTGAAGATTCCTTGAGTAATCTGACACATTTACTTTCTTTCTTTGTCTTCCCCACATGAGGAATAACTTGATGTATACTGTCATTTGATATTTGATCAAAGGTTTCTCCACCTTTGCAATGGTTTTCTGGAAGAGGAGTACTTTGATGTTTACTAGAATCTGACTTACAGTTAAAAATTTTCCAACTTTCATTGCAATGATAACTTCTGTCTTCATTACATGTACTCTGGTAATCATTAAAGATAGAAAGACCTTTAGTGACACCTATAATTACATTAAACATGTACACTTATTCCCAAATCGCTATTCTCTGATACCTATTAAAATCATGGTGGTTGAATTCAAAATTACTCCTAAGTACATGAAAATTTTATATATTGGAATAAAAGAAAACATTCCTTATCAATGAAGTATAATAATTCTTAATAAAGAAACTGCCAAACTGGCCACATTTAAATTTTACATATGCATTACAATTCACTAAATTTCACAAACTAATGACTGAAACTTTAATACTACTCTCCATTTCAGGCAATTAAATAATTATTCACATTACAAATTATCAGAGTTCCTTGATTTGGCAGACTGCCTTTAGAAGAATAGATATACTTAGAAAATTGTTTATAGGCTTCACATTTGGAAACACATTGTTCTACAAATTTAAGTGACTTAAAGTGGAAGTTTTCCCAAACATAACCTATTTTTAACCTCTTTGGGTAATAAAGACTTTATTATGAATAATTACCCTACACAAGTTCTGTGCATTTTAACATCCTTTTTTCTTGTCAAATACTTTCTTATCAGCCTTTCATTACATTATCAAAGATACACCTTTCATATCTTACCAGTATTGTTTTAGAGAATAAATCTTCTATTCCTGGCTTTTGCAACAAGACCTGGTTGTCTTCAGATAACATAGCTGAAAGATGCAAAATAAAGGTTCACAGTTATGACACTCAAGATAATGTACATTGAAGTTAAGCAATTATTGAATATATTACATCTTTGAGTACTTCAAAAATGTTAAATGTTCAAAGCAAGACCAAGAAAGGTACAATGTAAAGAAACAGAGAGTGCTTACATTTGGCAACCATACTGCCCACGTCCCCTGGCACACAATGGCAATATTACAAGAAAACTCCTAGTTTCCAATTTCTACTCTGAAGAGATGGAAGGTACAGCTGTGTTCAATTATCTTGCTATTTATCAGTGTCTTGAAATACATTTTTCTGTTTTACATGACAGTGCTAAAACCATGTTGATAAGAGGTGCATGCATTGTAGTACATACTAAAAAAGAGGAGTAATTGACAACTGATCAAATACCAAGACAGAGCAGGACTGAAAACTATTTTGTATGCTAGTATCAAGCATACAAAAAAATGTATGGGAAGATTTTATGACAGTTGGTTTTTTTTTCATTATATTACCAAAAGAAAACAAACTAAATATAGACAAATGGTATTACACCAAATATGAAAACACCTGCACATTAAGGCAAATACACAGAGGGTTAAAAACACAACCCATGGAATGGAAGAAAATTTGTGCAAAGTATGTATCTTGTAAGTGTTTAATATTCAGAATACATGAAGAACTTTTACAAAACAACATGATAAAAGAAGTAACACAATTTTTAAAACTGCCAAAGATAGACAGTTAATTAATATTTAAAAAAAAGCAGGAATACAGAACAGACTGAGGCAGATGCTTTAATAAGTGGTGTAACTGAATACCCACAAAATAATATAATTCAACCAATTTCTTTTTTTTTTAAAAACAAACACCTTTCTTATTTTATTTATTTAATTTTAGATTGAGGGGAAGGGAGGGTGAAAGAGAGGGAGAGAAACATCAATGTGTGGTTGTCTCTCGCACTCCTCCTACTGGGGGGTCTGGGAACCTGGCCTGCAACGGAGGCATGTGCCCTGACTGGGAATAAAACTGGCAACCTTTTTATGGTTCACGGGACTGCACTCAATCCACTGTGCTACAGTAGCCAGGGTTCAACTACTTTCTTGTGCCATGAACCAAAATAAACTCAAAGGAATTAAAAATTAAAATGTAAGACCTGAAGTAATGAAAACACGGTAAGAAAAGAGATTTACCCTGGCTGGTGTAGCTCAGTGGATTGAGCACGGGCTTGTGAACCAAAAGATCACGGTTCAATTCCCAGTCAGGGCACATGCCTGGGTTGCAGGCCATTTCCCAGCAGGGGAATGCCCAAGAGGCAACCATACATTGATATTTCTCTCCTTCTCCCTTCCCCCTCTAAAGATAAATAAATAAAATCTAAAAAAAAAAGAAAAGAAATTTAATAAACTGCCATTCACTCTTAGAAAAATTTTTTGAATATATCTTGGTAGGCATAGCAAACAAAAGATTAAACCAATGAGATTACAACAAAATAATTTTTGTATAGGAAAGTAAATCATCAAGAAAACAAAGAAAAAACCCAACTACTGAAGAGGGAAAGATATCCACCAATGATGCTAAATATCCAAAATAAAGGAGAAACTTACACAATTTAACACACACACACATACACACACACACAAAATCTGACTGAATAATAGGGAGAACACCTGAATATATATTTCTCTAAACAAGGCATAAAGATAGCCAGTAGACATATGAAAAGATGTCCAATGTCATTCATCATCAGAGAAATGCAAATTGAGACCACAGAGAAATACCAGCACGTATGTATCAGGATGGCAATTATCAGTAAATTAACAGACCTGGCTGGTGTGGCGCAGTGGTTTGAGAGCCACCTGAGAACCACAAGGTCACAGATTCAGTTCCCAGTCAGGGCACATGCCTGGGCTGCCAGCCACATCCCCGGGCTGCCAGCCACATCCCCAGTTGTGGGCATATGAGGGGCAATGGATGGATGTTTCTCTCACACATCACTGTTTCTCTTCCTTTCTTTCTTTCTCCCTCCCTTCCTCCCTCTCTAAATGTAAATAAATAAATCTCTTAAAGAAGTAAGAAACAATAAGAATGGGCAATGATGTGGAGAAATGAGAACCTTCATGCTCTGTCAGTGAGATTATAAATAAGTAGGTACAGCCACTACAGAAAACAAAGTGAAGGTTCCTCAAAATTTACAGACAAGTACCATGTAACACAGCAATTCTATTTCTGGGGATTTATCCAAAGAATGCAAGAACATAAATTCGAAATGGAACATAAACCACCATACCCACTAGAGCATTATTTACATGATGGAAGATATAGAACAGAAGGAAAAAAATGGCCATTGTTATAATGGTACTGAAGCTCTGGAATAAATGAAGAGATTTTATTTTAGTTAACATATAATGACAAAAAAATTTTATCTCAGTGGGTCTCCTTAAAGCCATGACTCATTATGTTTATTTAAAAAATTAAATAAACTACAAATATAATATCCATGTTATTGAATATAAAATAAACTTAATTTTATGCACTTCACACTTTCTCAGGGCAAATTCTTTACCAACTTTGTTTTTCAATCCAAAGTATTATTATGATTTTAAATCCCATGTCTCATCATTAAGAAAAAATACAAACAGTGATCCCTGTCATGAGAAAAAAGAGAAGCCACAAGCCGAGAAAACATATTTGTAATAGACAACATGTACAAAACTATTATGCAAGACATAGACATCATGTACAGGACTATTATGCAAGACAAAGATTTTTTCAAACTCAACAAAAAACCAAACCTAAATAAAAAGGGACAAACACCTTAACAGAAATCACACGAAAAATTAGATGTAGATTAAAAATTAGTATCTACAAAAACATCCACACCTTATATCACAGAGGAAATGCACACTAAAACAATGAAAGTTACACAAACAGCACACTAAACCCCTAATGAGAAGGGAATCCAGAACACTGACCACAGCACATGCTGCTGTGGTTGTGGAACAATTGGAACTCTCATTAACTGCTGGCGAAAATGTAAAATGGTGCAGCTCCTTGCAAAGAGTCTCGGGATTGTCAAAAAAGTAAAAATAATAGGGTTAGCTGGGTGGAGGGGACAAAGGGGGACAAATTGGGACAACTAATAGAACATACAACAAAGTATTTTTAAAATAACCCCAAAGAGCCCTGGCTGCAGTGGCCCAGTAGATTGAGCCCTGGCCTGTGAACCAAAAGGTCGCCAGTTCAATTTCCAGTTAGGGCACATGCCTGGGTTACAGGCCAGGTCCCCAGTTGGACGTAAGAGCGCAACCCATCAATATATCTGTCACACATTAATGTTTCTCTCCCTCTGTTTCTCCATCTCTTCCACCTTCTCTAAAGATAAATTTTTTTAAAAAAAAACCAAAAACTTGCCCTGGCTTGTGTGGCTCAGCGGATTCAGTGCTGGCCTGTGAACCAAAGGGTTGCCAGTTTGATTCCCAGTCAGTGCACATGCCTGGGTTGCCAGCCAGGTCCCCAGGAGGAGACGTGTGAAAGGCAACCACACACTGATGTTTCTTTCTCTCCTTCTTTCTCCCCCCTTCTTCTCTCTCTATAAATAAATAAATAAATAAAATTTTTTAAAAAACAAAAACACCCCTAAACATACACTTATTATATAATGCAGTAATTGTGCCCCTTATTATTTAACTAAATATCTAAAAACTTTATCTACAGAAAAACCTACCAGAGAATATTAATAGAAGTTTCATTTATAATATCCAAAAATTGGAAGCAATAAAAATATGTCAACAAGTGAATAAACTGAAACACATACAATGAAATATTCAGCACTACAAAGAAATAATAAGACATGAAAAGATATGAAAAAATCCTAGACACATTGAATTAGGAGAAAAAAATTAATCTTCTTGACAGGCTGCTCAATTGGTTAGAGCATTGTCCAGAAAA